CCCCAAAACCCCAAAACCCCAAAACCCCAAAACCCCAAAACCCCTTTTTGTAAATAATTTATTGAAATTGTTATAAAAACTAAAATATTATAAAGATGAACCAAGTCATCAACTTCTACAGGAGAGCAGGCAAGAGGACTTCCAGAGCGCTCGAGTCATTGTCACATGGGCCTATTTTCAAGGGTGTAACTCCTCCAATCACGCAGACTCCAGGAAGAGCCCAGTATTACTACCCCGAAACAGTCCACTTGGTTCCAGACAGCGTATTATACAAAGTCAGGATGCCTCTCAAGATTGCTTCAATGGAAGACTCTAAGGAGTACGAAGATGCTGTCCAGAAGAAGACTCTTGAATACTTAAAAACAAAATTTGCTTATAATCTGTTTGATCCTGAAAGAGGATTCCACTTAGACATGACCATTGGAGAACTTAGACAACTCGGAAACGCCAGCGAAAGCAATTTCAAGCAGGCCGCTTCAGGAAGCCTCCAGGAAATTATTGACTCTGAAAGAACTCTTAGAGACCAAATTGATTCTCTGGTTACCGAAATCGAAGACACTTTGGAAGATGTCGAAGATAAGATTGAAGCCTATGAAAGAGCTACTCACAAAATGAGCCACGCTGCTAAACTATCGCACAGCAGGATCACTGATTTTGTTCCATTCCTTGGGGGAGACTCCCTCACTACTAATGTAATGGATGCATTAGCAGAAGACCCAAATAACAAAGAAGCTGCAGCAATTGGACAGAGACTCTATGCCATTACTCATGCTAGACACTTGGTAGCTCGCATCAGACTTGACCTTGTAAACTGTTGGAATGAGCATCATGCAAATGAAACATTTGATAAATTCAACTACGAGCATGTTAGCCGATCCCATGATAAATCATTAAAAGAGCTTAATGAGCTCCCAGACTCATGGAAAGGAACAACCACTAGCTTTGGAGAGACCTTAGCAGCAGTTGCACAAGACAAAGTTCCTGAATACCTTGACCTCAGCACCAAGTACGAGAGATCAAGCAGTTCTAAGGACCACTTCTTCTCCACATTTACTCATGATGATGTGTATGACCAGACTCCTGAACAGTTCAAGCAAGATCTCCTGGCTTACTTGTCTGCAAACATCATTGTCAAGGAGCACAGAGTGCGGTACCAGGCTGAGCAGTATGATAGATACATGACTGCTTCAAGATGGCTTCCAGTCCACGAGCATATGACTCTTAAAGAGTTCACAGAGAGATATGCTGAACACTTGAGAAGAGAAATCGAAGTCTCATACGATTACGTGAGTCCAAAGATCCCTGCCAACTACGATGACTATCTAGAGAGAAAAGGAAGACCAATTAACAGCACTGTCTATTACTATTTCTTCAATGCTAACAGGATAAGAAGAAGGTTTGTTCAGGCTATCCTATCCACTGGAAGATAATCAGACAGCATAATTGAAGCATCACAGTGAACTAGCTCCTCAGAGATTTCCAGTGTACCCAAGGAGGAAGAAAGTTCTCTCTATAAAGCTTCAGAAATGTTTCAATTCTACAGTTTTTATCTGGGGTTTTGGGGTTTTGGGGTTTTGGGGTTTTGGGGTTTTGGGG